CTGTGAAAACTCAGGCACAAATCTTTGTGTAGACATGTTTTCACTACACTTGAGCAAATATTTAAGAATAGAATTTCTAAGTCATACGGTAAGTGAATAGTTAAGTTTATAAGTGAATGTTAAACTTCTCTCCTCTCCTGTCCTCCCTTCCCCTCCCCCCTCCCCTCCCCTCCCCTCTCACTTCACCTCCCCTCCCCTCCCCTCCCTTGCTCCTCCTTCTTTTTCTCTTTTTTTTTCTTACTTTTTTTTTTTTTTTTTTGAGACAGGGTCTCACTCTGTCACCCAGGCTGGAGTGCAGTGGTGCAATCAGCGGTCATTGCAGCTAGACCTCCTGGCCTCCAAGCATCCTCCTACCTCAGCCTCCTGAGTAGCTAAGACTACAGGCATGTGCCATCATGGCGCCAGCTAATTTTTATTTTAACTTTTTTTTTGTAGAGGAAGGGTCTGCCCTATGGTTGCCTATGCTGGTCTTGAACTCCTGGGCTCAAGCGATCCTCCTGCCTCAGCCTCCCAAATGCTGAGATTATAGGCATGAGCCTTGTGCCAGCCTAGGCTAAACTGTTTTCTAAAATGATTGTACAGTTTTCTTCAGCAGTGTATGAGTTCAAGTTGTTCCATTCTAATGCTTGGCATTATCAATCTTTTAAATTTTATCCATTTCAGTGTGTATGTAGTGGTATCTCCTTTTGGTTTAAATTTACATTTCCCTAATGACTAATGATGTTCAGCACCTTTTTCATGTGCTTAGTTGACATCTGTGGTTTTTTAAATAAAATGTCTGCTCAAATTCAAATCTTCTACACAATTTTAATTGTCTTTTATCATTACTGCGTTGTGAGAATTCTTTTTTTTTTTTTTTTTTTTGAGACAGTGTCACTTTGTTGCCTAGGCTGGAGTGCAGTGATGTGATCTTGGCTCACTGCAACCTCTGCCTCCTGGGTTCAAGTGATTCTCCCGCCTCAGCCTCTCAAATAGCTGGGACTACAGGCACGCACCACCACACCCGGCTAATTTTTGTATTTTTAGTAGAGACAGGGTTTCACCATGTTGGCTAGGCTGGTCTCAAACTCCTGACCGCAGGTGATCTGCCCGCCTCAGCCTCCCAAAGTGCCGGGATTACGGGTGTGAACCACCGCGCCCAGCCATGAGAATTCTTTATGTATTCTGGTACGAGTCATGTATATAGTCTGGTACAAGCCAATGAGACTTGCCTTTTCATTTTCCTAATGGTGCTTTCAAAGAGCAGACATTTTAATTTTTGATGAAGTCCAAATTTGATGTAGTTTTGTATTCTTTTGTAGTTTTTGCTTTTTGTGGCCTATTTTTAAAATATTTGCCTTGCCCGGGATCACTAACATTTTCTTCTGTTTTTCTTTTAAAGAAGATTTATAATTTTTAGCTCTTACATACAGTTTATGATCCGCTTCAAGTTAATTTTTGAATTGGTATGACGTAAGGTTAAGATTCATTTTTGTACACGGAGTCAACCAACTATTTCATTATCTTTTATTGAAAAGATTGTCCTTCCCCCCATTTAATTGTCTTGACACCTTTGCTGAAAATCAGTTGACCGTATGTGTAGGTCTATTTCTGAACTTTCTATTCTGTTTTATTGATCCGTATGTCAAAGTTTACGTGAATACCAAACTATCTTGATTACTATTAGCTTCATAGTAAGTTTTGAAACCAGAGAGCATAAGTCTTCCAATTTTGTTCCTCTTCACAATTGTTTTGGCTATTCTATGTGTAAATTTTTTTTTTTTTTTTTTGAGGGAGTCTTGCTCTGTCGCCCAGGCTGGAGCGCAGTGGCGTAATTTCGGCTCGCTGCAAGCTCCGCCGCCTCCCGGGTTCACGCCATTCTCCTGCCTCAGCCTCCGGAGTAGCTGGAACTACAGGCGCCCGCCACCACACCCGGTTAATTTTTTGTATTTTTAGTAGAGATGGGGTTTCACCTTGTTAGCCAGGATGGTCTCAATCTCCTGACCTCGTGATCCGCCCGCCTCGGCCTCCCAAAGTGCTGGGATTACAGGTGTGAGCCACCAAGTCCGGCCTATTCTATGCATAAAAATTTTTAAATTGCTTATTAAATTTCTTTCTTTCTTTTATTAAAATTGAGATGGGGTCTTGCTGCGTTGGCCAGGCTGGTCCCAAACCTCTGGGCTCAAGCAACCTTCCATCTTGGCGTCTTAAAGTTGCTGGGATTACAAGTGTGAGCCACCACACCTGGTCTGCTTACTAAATTTTTTTTTTTAAAGACCTGATATGATTTTGCATACTATTGTATTGAATCTAGAGAATCAATTTTAGGGAGACCTGGCATTTAAAGAATATTGAGTCTTTCAATCCATGAGTGTGATATATCTTACCATTTACACTCACCTTCCTTCATTTCTCTCAGTAATGTTTTATAGTTTTCAGAGTATACCTATTATACATATTTGTTAAATTTATTCCTATTTCATAACTCTGTGTGTGTGTGTGTGTGAGAGAGAGAGAGAGAGAGAGAGAGAGGTTCCTTTATGTTCTGAAAGTTGAGCAAAAGAAAATTGGTTAATTAAGGATTGCTGTTAGCTGAATTCCAGTTAGGTAAGATTTTACCATATTTGGTACTCACAATAATACCTTCAAATTATATCACACCCCATGTTCAAAAACCTTTAATGGGAAAAATCAATTTACAAAGGGACTAATTGGAAACAACTGAACGGGCTGATTAACTAAGCGATGCTCTATTCTTGCAGTCCAGTCATACAAATCACGTTATGCAACAACGATTTTCAGATGGAGTCAGGGTGTCTCACCGGGTCAGGCAGGCGTCACGGCTCCTGCTTCTGCCCTGATCCCAGGAGCTCTAGTTTTACCCATTTTGGCTTTTGAGGTCCCTAGTAAAATGTTATTTCAAACAGAGCGCCAATGAAGAAAATTTTTAAAGATCATTATTGAAAAAGAATTTTTAATGACTGAGAAAGATGATAATAGAATTATAAGCAGATTACAAAAGAATGTGTTTTATGTCCCTTTTGGGGGAAAAAAGAAGAAATATGTGTACAGAAAACAATCAGGGCTGGGCCCAGTGGCTCACGCCTGTAATCCCAGCACTTTGGGAGGCCGAGGCGGGTGGATCACGAGGTCAGGAGTTCGAGACCAGCCTGGCCAATATGGTGAAACCTCATCTCTACTAAAAATACAAAAATTAGCCAGGCGTGGTGGTGGGTACCTGTAGTCCCAGCTACTCGGGAGGCTGAGGCAGGAGAATCACTTGAATCTGGGAGGCGGAGGTTGCAGTGAGCCAAGATCGCGCCACTGCACTTCAGCCTGGGTGACAGAGCAAGACTCCGTGTCAAATAAAAAAATAAAAAATAAAAAATAAAAGGAAGAAAAAGAAAAGAAAACAATCAGAAGGCTACACATATATCAAAATATTTATAACAATTATTTCTGTGCAATTGGCTTATGGATTATTTCTAGATGTTTGCCCTCATTTGTATTTTTCCAAATATGTATAATGTAGCATGTATTATTATTCTCTAATGAAAACAGAATAAATTAAAATTCCTTAGTATGTTACTCAAACTCTCCATCATCTGACATAAAATGTCTTTCTAGACTTTCTAGACCTGAGTAGCTGAGTAGTTTGCTAAGCCTCAATTCATCAGGGTCACGAGTTCTGGCCTCAAAGAATTACTCACTGTTTCCTGAATACACCCTGTGTTCCCTGGTCCACACCTTTTCAAGGGCTGTGTTCTTAGTCCAGAATTCCCTAATCACGCACTACCACTTCCTATAGGAATTCAACCATTCAAAATATATATAATAAAATAAGTTAAAGCAGTAAACAATATTCAAGTATACTACACAGAGAGTATAGCTTTAACGAGTTAAAGAAAAAAATGCAAAGAGAAAACTGGAAGGAACGCTGTAAATAATGTATAGTGGTGGCCCCTGCATACTGGGATTATAAGGTTTCTGGTTATTTATCTGGCTTGGTAAATCACTTTACCCTCTGAGTTTTTGATTCCTTGCAGGATTAAATGAGAGAACATGAATGTGCTCTGTAAACTGTAAAGGGATGTTGGAATGTGAGCTGCACATTTGAAATGTGAGCTGTGTGAAGCTGTCCCCTTTGAGGCTGAGGCTCTGTCACTCCACATTGTCTACCATGCCCCACTCAACCATGGCTGCTGATTTAAATCTTACACCAATTCTGAAAATAGAGCAAAAATCCCTTTGCCTCCTGAAATGTTCACAGTAGACCTGGGATTTCACGAAGGTCTGTGTTCCAGAGGACCTAGGATTTTCATCGAGATTGGATTTTCCTCTGCTGTTCCCAGGACTTGTGGCCTTCATAAGCCATCCAGTCCCCAGGCCAGTAATCCATGGGCTCTGGTACAGCCCAGGGGTGCACTTCAGTCTTATTAAAGATAGAAAACTCTAGGCCAGAGAAACACGTATACTGAAGATGGCTCTGGAGCCCCAGGCAGAGTCACTCACTCCCCACCTCTCTAAGCAAGATGATGCCCAGAACAACCTGTGTGCAAGTCCACCTACCCATGACCCTCATCAACTGAACAGACTCCAGGAGCACTGAGAGGATGGCCGGCCACCACCTCCCATTCCTCAGAGGGGGCACTGAAGCCACAAGTGGGGAAGCAGCTTACCAAATAAATGCATATGCTAGTTAGTGCAGCTAGCTGGCACTGGAAACAGAGCCTACCCAAGTGTTGTTCATTTCAGCTGAGATTGCTTTAGGGAAGCAGGGATTCCATTCTGCTTGATACCCTCAGCACCAGGCAGAGCCTGGCCACAGCTGGTCCCCCTGAATCTTTGCTGGACACAACTGTGCATGAGGAGACATCAGCATGTCACTTTCCTTGACACCCAACTACTGCCCCCAGAAGAGATTCTTTCCAGGCTAAGAAAGACCCCACTGCCTATCCAGCAGTGGGGCTCAGTAAGCCATGAAGTGATTTACAAACATTGGCCACCATGGTCTATTACAGGTAGAAGCAACAGTGAAAATCACGACGGTGAGATCAAGCAAAGCAGATGGACTGAAGGACAAGGACGACTGCCCAGCAGAGGGAGGGAAAGCCCGGGCTGGACTCCACGTCGCCGGAGCTCCCAGGTTGGTTTTTATTTTATCTTATCTTTTTTGAGACGGAGTTTCGCTCTTGTTGCCCAGGCTGGAGTGCAGTGGCGCGATCTCGGCTCACTGCAACCTCCCCTTCTCGGGTTCAAGCAATTCTCTTGCTTCAGCCTCCTGAGTAGCTGGGATTACAGGGGCCCACCGCCACACCTGGCTAATTTTTGTATTTTTAGTAGAGACAGGATTTCATCATATTAGCCAGGTTGCTCTCGAACTCCTGACCTCAGGTGATCCACCTGCCTTGTTGGGATTACAGATGTGAGTCACCCCACCTGGCCCCGGGTAGGCTTTTAAAGACAGAAGTCCTTACTTTTGAAGACATCCTTGGACTTCTTTTTTTTGAGAAGGAGTCTTACTCTGTTGCCCAGGCTGGAGTGCAACGGCACAGTCTGGGCTCACTGCAACCTTTGCCTCCCAGGTTCAAGTGATTCTCCTGCCTAAGCCTCCTGAATAGCTGAGATTACCGGCACCCACCACCATGCCTGGCTAATTTTTGTATTTTTAGTAGAGACAGGATTTCATCATATTGGCCAGGCTGTTCTTGAACTCCTGACCTCAGGTGATCCGCCTGCCTCGGCCTCCCAAGGTTCTGGGATTACAGGTGTGAGCCACTGCACCCAGCCATCCTTGGACTTTTACATGCTGTTTCAGGATGCTTTAGAACAGTATGAGGCCAAATAAAATAAGTCTGACCATGGTGTCCAGTAGTCTGCCACCTCCAGGATGGACATCCGTCTGACTGATGGCAACCGAGTCTAGGCTCTTGACACCCAACTACTGGGGCAAAACCTCTGGGGTGTAGGGGAAAGATTGCTGCCAACAGAGGGACCCGCTTCATCTGTGTAAGCCTCAGGCTCCTCATTTGCAAGACAAGAACCATAATATCTACCCTGTAGGGCTGTTGGGAGGGTTAAACAAGGTGATGTAGGGGAAACTGTAAAATAATGTACCGAGTGTTAATATACAAATAATAATGTCAATATGTAATATCTTTAAGCCACTAAGTTTAGATGATTCTGGGTTTAAGATCCACAACCCGGCCGGGCGCGGTGGCTCACGCCTGTAATCCCAGCACTTTGGGAGGCCGAGGCGGGCAGATCACAAGGTCAGGAGATCGAGACCACGGTGAAACCCCGTCTCTACTAAAAATACAAAAAATTAGCTGGGCGCGGTGGTGGGCACCTGTAGTCCCAGCTACTCAGGAGGCTGAGGCAGGAAAATGGCGTGAACCCGGGAGGCGGAGCTTGCAGTGAGCTGAGATCGCGCCACTGCACTCCAGCCTGGGCGACAGAGCGAGACTCTGTCTCAAAAAAAAAAAAGATCCACAACCCTGGCTGGGTGCCGTGGCTTAAGCCTATAATCCCAGAGCTTCCGGAGGCCGAGATGGGCGGATCACTTGAGGTCAGGAGTTCAAGACCAGCCTGGCCAACATGGTGAAACCCTGTCTCTACTAAAAGTACAAAAATTAGCCTGGCATGGGGGCGTGCACCTGTAATCCCAGCTACTCGAGAGGCTGAGGCAGGAGACTCGCTTGAACCCGGGAAGCGGAGGTTGCAATGAACTAAGATCGCGCCATTGCACTCCATCCAGCCTGGGTGACAGAGCCCAGAGACTCCATCTCAAAAAAACAAAAACAAAAACAAGACTATTTTGGGGGGATAAGCATTTGTGAGTTCAGAATGAACCACGTCCACATTGCAGTCTCCACATATCAGAATTTTCATACAAAGGACACCATGTGGAAGAGAGAGAACGGAGTGTTGCCACCACAGGGCCATGTGTCTCGGAGTAAGTTCTTTCTTCTCTCTCTGGGCCTCAGTTTCTCATCAAGAATATACGCGGTTGAACCAGCCTCCTTCCAGCTCCGAAGTTCTCAGATGTTAGCCTCCATGTCAGCCCTTAGTAAAAAAGGCCAATGCAACAGATGCAGATGGGCTCCTCCGGGGTCCCATTCCGGCATTTCTGGCAGGCAGGAGAGAAAGGAACCTGAAGGCCTGGAATCTTCCACGCCCTGACTCACACCAGCTCAGCTTCTTCACAGTGCCCGGCCTGTGCCCTGCCCTGGGCTCTGCCTGCACGGACGGCTGGCACGGCAGCCAGGCCCTCATGAGCTGGTGCTGTCACGTCACAGCCAAGGCCTCTGCCTTGTCCCCAAGCACAGGTGACCCAGTGATGGGACTCTTTGAAGGAGTTGGGGTGGGGGCTCAGTGCAGACATGGGCTGCCTTGGGCTAGAATTGACTTCTCAGATTAAAGTCAGACAGATGGGCTGCTGGTGAGGGCCTCGTGCTGCCTCCTAACACAGCAGGAGGCATTACAGGGCAAGGGCGCACGAGAGAGCTCGCTCTCCAGGTAACCAACCCACTCCTGGGATAATCCATTAATCCTTTCACCCACTCAGGAGGGCGGATCCCTCACTCAATCACCTCTTAAAGGCCCCACCTCTTAATACGTTAACAATGGGGATTAAGTTTCAACATGAGTTTCAGAAGGGACAAACGTACAAATCACAGCCACCCAGGTCTGTACTTAGAACCAGATCACCGATAGGAGTAATCACCGCAAAGTCATTCCTCACTGTCCACGGGGGATTGGTCCCAGGACCTTCTGTGGATACCAACATGAGGATGCTCAAGTCACCAGTAGGAAATGGTGTAGCATTTGCATACAACCTACTCATGTGTTCCGTATACTTTAAATCTTCTCAAGATGACTTATGATACCTAGTACAATGTAAGCGCTGTGTAAATTGCTGTTATCCTGTATCCACGTCTTTTTGGGTTGTTTGTTCGTTTTGAGATAGAGTCTCCTTCTGTCACCCAGGCAGGACTGCAGTGGCTTGATCTCCACTCACCGCAACCTCTGCCTCCTGGGTTCAAGCGATTCTTGGACCTCACCCCAAACAGCTGGGATTATGGGCACATGCCCCACTTCTGGCTAATTTTTTGTATTTTAAATAGAGATGGGGTTTTGCCATGTTGGCCAGGCTGGTCTCATGCTATCCTCCTGGCCTCAAGTGATCCGCCCACCTCGGCCTCCCAAAAAGCTGGGATTACAGGCGTGAGCCACCGCGCTCAGCCATTTATATATTTTTTTAATTGTTAAATTGTGTGGTGGCTCACACCTGCAATCCTAGCCGTTTGGGAGGCTGAGGCAGGTGGATTACCTGAAGTCAGGAGTTTGAGACCAGCATGGCCAACATGGTGAAACCCTGTCACTACTAAAAATACAAAAACTTAGCCGGGCATGGTGGTGGGCACCTGTATTCCCAGCTACTCGGGAGGCTGAGGCAGGAGAATCCCTTGAACCCAGGAGGTAGAGGTTGCACTGAGCCGAGATCACACCATTGCACTCCAACCTAGGCAACAAGAGCGAAACTCCATCTCAAAAAAAAAAGAAAAAGAAAAATTAATAATTTTTTTTTTCCAAACATCTTTTTCAAATGTTTTCCATCTGCAGTTCGTTGAATCCATGGATAAGGAGGGCCCACTGCCCTGGGTCCTGGCCCATGCGCACTTTCCAAGGTGCTTCCACACGCATCGTCTCCTTATAGAGTGGGCTCCCCCACCCTGAGGGGACAGTGGGGGAGATGGAGGCTCAGAGAGGTTTCCAGATCCCGCCTCAGACATAGTCATCGGGTGGGGTGGCAGCAACTGGCCCGGCCTCTCCCTGAAATGCCATGAACCATATTTACTTTGCACCTCCAAGGTGCCTGGCATCGTGCTTAACGCTGTCTGCAGAGTCATTCCGTCTTTACAGCACCTCCACGGGGCATGGGTTGTTTTACTAAGGAGAAAACCAAGAGACAGAGAAGTTGTGTAACTTAACCATATTCATGAAGCCACTGAGATCTGGAATCATTAATCGGATCCTTCTAAGTCCAGAGTCTGAGCTCTTACCCCTTCCCCTGCACCTGCTCCCCACCCCCACCTCCACCCCCAGCTTCCTGAAGGAGCAGGGCGGTCTCTCCCAAAGCCAGCATTCCTGTTCTGTGACTTCATCTGTGATTTCATCCTGGGAGTCGGTAGCAGCCCTCTTAGGTTTGCTCTCATGATCTCACCCTTTCTCTCCTAACCACTTGGCACCAACCGGCTCTCCTCTGCATGACCTTGGGCAAGTCCTTTAACCTCGCTGGGTTGGTTCCTGGTGTATGAAGGGAGAAGAGAGGCCCACGATGGCTGCCGACACCTGGCAGGTTGATATCCAGGGCTCCTGTGTGGGCTTGTGGGTCTCCCTGAGACCAAACCCTGTGTGAAGAGCAGGCTCCAGGCTGGCCCTGTGTCAAGCAGGCCCTTGGGAACCCACAGGCCTGTGTTCTAGAAGCATATACAACCCCAGATCCTCACATACCAGCAGAGCATTAATGTCTCCTCACCATGAATGCCAAACGCTCGAGCCGAGAACGCTGGAGGGACCCTGGGATCTTTAGTGGGCCCAGCGTTGCTGCAGAGGCGGCCTGGGGACTCATGGCTGCAACGAGGTATGGTCAAGCCTGGTTCTGACATCACTCAATTCCCTGGCTCTGTGCCCCAGCCACCCAACGGATGACACATTGCCGAGTATGGCAGCTCCCAGGGTGGTTCCTGTGGAACAGGGACTCTGAGCAGAGAGTTCTCTGAAGGCAGGAACCACCTAGGAGCCTCGGGTCCTGAAAGGCAAACATCCTCTTTCCCCACCTCCAGGAAGCCCTTTTCAATATTTCTCACACTTGGGAGGCTAAGGCAGGTAGATAGCTTGAACCCAGGAGATCGAGGCTGCCATGAGCTATAATCACACCACTGCACTCCGGCCTGGGTGCCAGAATGAGACCCTGTCTCTTTAAAAAAAAAAAAAATCGAGGGTGGGGGGCATACAATTTGGACATAGAAACACACAGGAAAATGCCATGTGAAGATAAACACAGATGCAGGGGATGCTTTCTTTTTTCCCCTATGGTTGATGTTTAGTTCAGTTTCTTTGTTTTGGTTTTACTCTGTTTTA